GCTTCATTACCAAAGTCACGCGTTCGTTGCCACATCATTGTCTCCCTTCACGATTCCTCCTCCTGCAGGTCGCCTCCAGTTTCTTCACCAGATTCAAGAGCACTTTCTCGAAACGAATGTTCAGGGCAAGCTGCCCTGCAAGGTTCGGGGCTACGGTGATCTCTCAGTGGACTGGTTCCGTAAACCCGACCCTAACAGTTACTCCCTCGAACCGATCCAGGCACCCAACCAGGTCGAACGTGGCGTGCTTATCTTCCACTTTGTACAGAAGCAAGATGAAGGAGAGTACGTTTGTCTCGCCCGATCTACCTACCGCAATGCACAGATAAATATGACCGTCAAGGTCATTGTTGGAGGTGAGGACCTTAAGATTAAGATTTTTATGTTCGTTATGACCCCAGTTAAAAATAGTTAGAATATTACTCTTTGACCAGACTGTCTTAGCGACTAGAGGAAAATGTCTGAGGCAAACTGAAAAGACAGAACAGTTGCCTGGGCCTGTGCACTAGGGCTTGTAATAGCAAATCCTATTTTGTTCACTGTTGAATCTCGCCACGTAGCGCTGAGAAATCAGTACTTCAGAACTATAATGGATATCGAGAAAGGAGATTAGAGTATTTGAAGCTCTTAGCCGGGTACACCTTTTCATCGAATTAGAGGCTCCACCGACCGAACAGCAGCTGCGCGTCTTGCTGGCCGAGAGAGGAGATAATCAAGGTCACGTGGATATGACATTTATAAAGCAGTCTGACTGCAGGACAGGAAGGTTGCCAGCATCGCTGATCAATTATTGATTTTGAGGGCATTAGGCCGCCACATCAAAGAAAAAGGACACCCCTTTTTCGACCGTTAATCCGGTTGGATGGAGGAAGTCCAATCACCCTTGACGTTAAGTGCTAGCGCAGTACACGTTACTCACAATGGGTACAAAACTTCTCATCTATATCAGAATATCATAACATCAGATGACATTGATAATTGTCGTTTTTTATCTTCCTCAGAAATAAATTTCGACTTTGTAGTAGATCAATATATTTAAGGGTCTATGCGCAGACTGATGCAAATATCTGGACCGAAGTCCATCTGCCACTGCGGACTAACCGCGTAATATTTACAAGTTGCCAGCAGGCATATAGAAAAATAACTTATGTAATTATTTACCATAATAGCAGCACTGGTACTAGCTAAAAACCCAAACACGTGTTTCGTCGATATTCTACCGCTGTATGGCGCAGCGGAAAGCACACAACGAATGCTGGGAGACCGAATGATTAAATGGACTTTTTGCAGCTGTGCCACACAACTGCAGAATATCGGCGAAACACGTGTCTAGGCTTTTAATTAGTACCCTTTCTTCCAGTATTGTAAATAATTACATTGATACTAGCAAGTTGTGTACCCTATCTAGCTTGAGAAAGTTGTGTAAGTTCGCCATCGTAGCGATCAAAAAAGTCTAGGGCCAGGAGCAGTAAATGGCTACCTGTAAGTATAGCTGTCCATGGTCCGTGTATCCGTACCTCCTGTTTACAGCAGAACTGATCAGATCAGGAAATGCTGCCTTCCCAGCAGGCTTACTAAGGTTTACTGTCAATCCTCGGCTTTTCCAGCTATTCATGCTTTTTCTTTGATGTACTCTAGAAAAACCAAAGATATACGATATCAGTTCCAACAAGACCATCCGTGAGGGCCAACGTCTTGTGCTGAACTGTAAGGCCTCCGGCGATCCGAAGCCGCAGATAAGTTGGATTGTCAAAAAACCGAGCCTCAAGTACCCGACAGTCTACTCGCCCCTAATTTCTGGTCCAGCCACATCAGAGATGCTGGAGAATGTCTTTGACGTTGCAGCTGCCGCCTCTAAGGGCGGTTCCGGAGGCAGTGATGGTGGCAGCGACGATGGCGTCCGAGGTGGTATGTCTGCAAACAACGGGAAACTGACACCCGCGGCGACACTAGCACGACTGGAGCCTCGCAATACCAAGGACGAACGGGTCCAGGTCTTGTCAAATGGCAGCCTAGTTATTAATCAACCTCTTCTGATTGACGACGCGGAATATATATGCATTGCAGGCAATAAGCACGCCATTGAAACTCGACAAGGTGTGCATGTGCGTGTCCTGAGTAAGTCTTTTTTGCTATTTTTGCTTTCAACTTCTTATAAATCCACTTCTACACACTATCCATCACATCGCAAAAATAGTAATTAAAGGAGTTTTGAACTAATCCAGGTCTCTCGACATAAATACGTGTTTTTTGTTGCCTGATGACTCACTTAGTCACTACCATAGACTACGTTTAGGGCCAAGGGTCTAGTTGAACTAACAGTTACTTCCTCTCTGAAATCAGATGACCTTTAATTCTTGGTTTTTATTCCATAAAGGTCTGATGGGTATGGCAGCCATACCCCCAATTACATTCTGCTAGCGGTTGAAACTATACGAAGGCAACTGACTTGCCTCAATAAAATGGAGATATTTCTGTTTGAAGCCTGGTTTGGTCATGGAAGATGAAACAATCGTGTCCGGATGATAGTTAGACCATCGGTTCTGACGAGGTCCACCGTTTTCCCCGCAGCAAGTTGATGATGACATGCGCGGCATCTACCGTACTCTCCCCCCTCGCCCACATGGGCCCGTTGTCATCCTCAAGTCAAGCAGACCGGAGGCAAGAAATGGTTAGATAGCTAGTGTATTCCCTTCCCGGACCCTAACCAATATTCGAGCTGGTCGATTGTCTGGTATGAGGAATGGGCTCAGTGGCTGACATAGCTAATGACCTGCTCCCTTAAACACAAACATCAGGATTTCACAAAAAGGGAATTAGCGGCTCAGATCTCACAGCATATGCATACATAGACGGAGACTTTATGTCAGGTCGGTTATTACACACATAAAGCAGCTTGCTGCATTCCTGACCTAGGCTCAGCGTTGGAGCAAGATGAGTTTGACAAGAAATAGTGAGGTCGATTTCCCGGGTATTCCTCACTATATCTAAATTTGTGGAGCAGACACTGTTGTCCGTTTGGGATGGTGATGGCGACGGTGGTGGTGGCTACCCTCATGGAAGTATCTGGTACCATAAGATTCTGTATAAATGCGCTATATCGCTTAATATGAAGTGTCATTCGTTAGGCCTCGTTATCCACACATTTTCCAGCCCGAATCCTGCCTTCTAGTTCTAAGTATTTTTTATTTTATTTTTAGCCACTGAAGAGTACGCCCAATATGAACTCGGGGATGAGAGTCTGAGTCCAAGTATGTTGAAGACAATCATAATTGTCGTGAACTGTGCAATCGCCTATCTGGGGCTTATATTCGGTCTGACAGTTTACTGTAGCCTTCGTCTGCTGAAGAATCGCAGGAATCGCGCTCAAAGTGGTAAGCCAACTGTTTAACTCAGCATTTCAGTTTGATCCCCGATTTTGTTTGAAGTAGTGCATCTATCCGCAAACTTATTCGCTATTTCTAGGCAAAACACCCGAATCAGGGCAGCTTATCTCTCAGGCTAGCGGACAGAACACTACCCAGGAGAACAACTGCGCCCTCCTGTTAAATGAAGATGTAATGAACACGGGTTCGAGGACAGCAACCGGATCTCCAAACGACACCAGTGCGACTGATATTGCCGTAGTGAAAAAGCTAGGCAGCGCTGCACAACAGCAGCCGGTCTATCACGGGACACAGAACTACTTTATGCCTGACGGTGGTCACCAGAACAACTTCTCACTGTCCACCGGTTACTCAACCAACGAGATCGGAGCACATCAGATGAATAACCTCTACCCGAACCACGGCGGCATCGGCTCTGTAAGCGTTGCCAGTACAACCACAGCGGAATCGAGTGGAAACAGTCGGTTAGTGGTTGCGCCACCACCAACGCCGTTGGACTCCAGGTCTCACTTAAGTGGACTCTCCTCGGGAAACTCGGCAAGCGCCTATTCCCGCTCCCTCATAAGTGGCGCCTCTAACAGCACAGGCCCTCCATTCCCTACCGGTAACCCACAAGTTGAGCATCAAGTACAAGGTATTCCCGGTCTTCATGGGGTGTCCGGCGGACACCCGCAATACCCGCAACCGACACCTGCTGAAATGATGGCCTACACCCATTAAAACTGACGGAGCATACAGGGCATATACAGTAATTGAACTCTTCATTTTTGCTATTTCTCAAACACAGTTCCAGCTGTTGCTTAGTTTCAGTCCTCTTTCGGTATTTTTCCTTTTAGGCTTGGCCCGCACGAACAGGGTTGCATTAGAGGGATAGAGGGTGTTTATGGACGTGCAGAGACGTCCTCTCGTCACGGTACACTGACCGCTGTGACGTCAATGTGGCGATCCCACCAAGTATTTCGTTTTTTGCCTGACTAACTCCCCTCCCCCGACTTCGCCCTATTTCAAACCTCCCCACGTCCTCTTGCAAAATAGGCCTGTCCTGAAAGGTCCCTAGCTACTGAGCAAACAGTAGCAGTGAGAATTCCTGCCTTCCCTCCCAGTCCCCCACCATCTTAAGCATCATACGTGAACGTTTGTGTACACTCCCGGAACCACTCGCTTTTCCTGTTATCAAGTGTCCATTTTTCAGTCTTGGATTCTTCCCACTCTGTTCAGTATTTGGTCATCCATTGGTAATGAAGTGGTTACCAGGCTATCCGTCCTCAAGTTTCGATATCGGCATAACTTTTGGCGCAACAATCATGCGAACGACTTTGTGCTTGCCCTTCCTCGCCAGACTTTCAAACCGGTGTATCTGACAGAGTGCAATGATAGTCAAGGAACCAGCAAACACTTTCATCACAACAGAAACCCTTTTAAGAATTCATTTGAACATTTCCCATTACCAAAGCCGAACCTCATATATACATATAATACCACCCAGTAATGGCTCTTTTGAAATCTCTAGGCTTGGAGATTGTTTTGGCCAGGCTGACAAACGCTTCCCTTTTCCCCTCCGCACTTGCGTGCGCATCATCGCATTCTTTCTTTATCGTTCTTTTATGAGTTTACGTTACTACTACAATGTCCTCTTAGGCCGAGGAAGTGTGTCAATGGGCGTCTTGCAAAGTACTCTGCGTTATTTGTCCCAAAGTTACCCTGATCCAGTGAAACTTTTTTAAATAATATCGTCAAGATCGAAGTTGCAGCAAGTGAGAGGGAGGGGAGTAAGGAGAAGGTTCTATCTTGAAGTGGTTTACTTCGGCAAATAAACGGGAAATGGTCGGTGGCGTCGCCGCAAATCCCGTCAATTGCCCGCTGGGTTACCGGTATTCATTATTTGAAAGAAGAACAGGTTGATTTATCGATTCATTGAAACCTGGTCTTTCTATACGAACTTCACGACTTCAACACGAATCAAAGTAACCCAAGTGTCTTCCACGCGCTGCGGAATTCCTTTTTTTCCAAAACTGGTGGCATTTAAACTAATAGTTCTACCCATCATTCAACATCCTTGCTTCTTTAAAGGTTTGCTGGAGTTGGTTTTTAATATATTTCTAAGGTAAACTTCTATTAAACTGTGCATTGAATGCCGTATACTTCTGGTTGGATGAAGTAGATTATCGGCAGTCCACAACACCGAACACAGGAATCTCCTGACCTTTCCTTTGGAAAAAGAACAAACTAATGCATAAGGTGATACATGAAGGCTCTAGTTTTAAATACTTCAGTTCATATAACACTCACGTTTGGCTTATTGGAAGGAACCGAGTGTGGCCTAAGGCAATTATAGTGGATGGGCCTTACATGAAATGTCAGCGGAATCTTTTCAAACGTATTATCCACTGAGAAAGAGTTTCTCAATGGCGTTGTAACATTCATTTTTGTATGACATTATCCTAATATATTTCCGTCACTTCAAGATGCGGCTTTTGAATAAGCTTTCCAACGGCCGTCTAAACGGAATTCTCTAAAAATGACTACCTCTATAGCATGCAATTTCCCCCGATTTTCAAGGCTCTAAGAAATTCAAAGATAGTTACTAGAAAACATGCATCAAAATATTCTTTCTAGCATTGATTCGTCAGCAAATTATATTCTCTTATAATTTCGTGCTTTAAAAGTGTGTCTTTCGGTGTTAAAAATATTCTCAATCCCCCAACCTGCACCCAGAGTTTCCAAACTCTAAGTTATATATTTTCCGTGTAGGGCACATCTTAAGTGTATATATGCCCCAAAAAGAGGTGCTATAAACTCATATTTCAACAGTGAATAAAGTCCATAGAGCCCTGTTAAATGGAAAGATACCATGCCCTATAAATGGACACTTCACGGTCTTAAAAGATCGAAATTATGTAACCACTTTAAGGCCGTAAGATACGCTTTCAGTTATTAAATTTGAAGTGGGTGCAATTTTCTAATAAAAAAGAACAAGAAACAAACTTGTCAGAAGAAGGAGATGCGACCACTGGGGCAAGAGTTTATTCTCCTGACGTTTCGGATTCCGTCGGGACTCCTTAATCATAGGTGATGGTACAATATTCTGAGTCATACGCAGATAGGGGTTAAAAAATGCACAGATTGCAGGGTATTTATAGTTCGTAGCGGTCATCCGTGTGCATACTGTAATTATCCGCTCCTGTAGCCACCGCTTGGGTCTTAATTGGTGCGAT